AATGATTGAGACCGATGTAATTGCATTGAATAATACATCATATATGTACATTCGGCAAAATTGAACTTATAAAAAAAGATTAAGAACTGAGGAATTCACACTCTCATTTCAAAATTCATATAAAAAAGACTACAATTTATAGGACTATACAACTGACCTTGCATAACTCCACACCTTTCTGTGCCATCATCTCTTTTCGTTTCACGCTATCCAGTTTTATCCTCAACGCCAACCATTGCTGTTCGATTGAATCGATTCTGTAAGATCAAAATGACGAAAAAAGATAAAATTTCCTCTCACCGAAAGCAGTTAAGTCTGAAACAAATGCGATTAACCTCATAACATCATTAATAATCGATTTGAGTTCATTGATGACGTTGTCATCTTTGCATCCCTCAGTCAACGCCGACAAGCCTTCTTCACCACTCAACCAGCCTTGTTCCACTACCATTCGATCCACTTCACCGCTAAAATTCATAAGTTTTCTATTGTATCGAACGTAATCACAACAACACTTCACAATGTCCGCTCGGCTTTTCACGAGTTTAGCAATGAGGAAATCCGCTGATGAAACGATTTCAAAAGTGAAACACTCACGTCTCCATGATAAACTGATATGCATCACTGATCACCGGATGGACGAAGCCTTTCTTCTCAGAAACGTTCACAATATTTTGTTGACCCTGAATAAATCGCTTAATGAAAAAACAAAAAACCAATCTTATTTAGATAAAATTCACCTGTATTTATCATTTATTATTGATGATAAATTTGCATACATCACAACTATTATCAACAACGATTCGGAACAGTTGCTATCCATTAGAAAATGCAGTGAATTCACATAGAACAAGGCGTTGTTCCATTCTGAATTAAGCAAGGAACCACCATTGCATATAACTCAAAGTACAAAAGACTTCTGCAATATTCAAACGATCCATACTCACTGCAGTCAATCCATCTTGATCATTCAAAATTCAAACGACGCGATGAAGTCATTTCCACGGCACTGATAAAACTGCAGTCAATGCAAATTTCAAAACTTCCAAACAAACGATTCTACAAACCGATATCAACGATAAGTACGAGGCAACGGCTGCTCGACCTGGATTGGTCAGCTTACGTGCTTCTGCATCAGCTATCCAACAGTGCACTCCTCTTCGACCCGAGAATACCCAAAGTCGATGTTTGAAACCAAAATGTTCTGAAGTGTTTCAAATTTGAGTAAAACCAGACCTCCCAAAATAGTTCACCTCTACAAATGAATGCCAAAGGTTTCGATAGAATGTCAATGTTGCTGTCCCTTCTACTCATCCGAAATTCACGCTTTCAGCATAGATTTTCCACAATAGATCAAAGAAATTTAATAGATATTTACGGTAAACGAAAATGGATTGCTGAAAATTAACACTTTAAAAATAAACAGGAATGGAAAAATAATAGTAACCTTTCAGAAGTCTATCCAACACCTTCATTGCGATTGTTATCCATCGACAACATTTCTTACAAACATTTGCACCACTGCAATATTTCATTCTTATATGTGAAGAAATGAAACCATTATAGTAATTGCTATTATAATTTCCATTACTATCCTTATCTATGGTGATTAGTGACCGTCAAAACGGCGAATGTAACATCGACCAAGCATATTCTCAATAGACATTTTAGCAATCTGTTCACTGAGAATACAAGAATTTTATAGACTTGATGAGAGCCTCCAGACTGAACACTATTCGATGCACTTCCATAGAAATTATCGTTGATATCATATTTGAGGCGGTCGTAATCTTCCTTTGGAATGCAACTTCATTTTGATAAACTGACCAAATTTGAACCGAAAACTTACGAACAACATTTTCGAATTTCGTCATAATCAGTCAGATCAATATCGAATACCAATTCACGCTGTTCCGCACGGAAATCCGAGAACTTTTTATTGTCTTTTGGCTGAAGGTAGAACTTCTAAGGAGTTATTGAGAATATTTTGGAGTCGGTAAACATGAATATATCCTGCGGTTATTTCATCTACATTGTGAATGCAGGTTATCCATGGAAAATGCGATTATTTTGAAATAAATGAGAGTTTCTGAATGAATTCAGATGCTTGCCATCACGCATTATTGTTGAGAAGTGCAGAGAATTTCACGAGAACTTGTATGCTCAGTACAGTGCCGAATGTTTTCATTCGGATGAAATGAGGTTAAAAGTTATCTTCTCTGATGAAAATTGAAATTCAGTTTCGATCGAATTGTTCAGTTTAACCTTATGATTATAGATGGCTCCAATATCCAGTTTAAAGGGACTGCTTTTGCAGAGTTCTTTCTCGAATTCGAGCATATCGTTGAACGATCGATAGCGTATGTGTACATCTCCCTCGAAAATGAATGCGAATTCTCGATACGAGAAATATGCTGATGGCTCTGCAAATTCATTGAATGTCTCGATTTTGAAGTAACCGAATGCACATTCAAATACTGCTGATTTACTGTCCACAATTCAAAAGAACTCTCTTTACTTTCATTGGCTTTGCACGTTTTTTCTTAGTGATAATTTGATATATTGGTATCGAATAAGTTTCTTTTGCGTGAAAACTACATAGAATAATGAAGACTACTCTTGTTCGACGGTTTACAACTGAACACTTCAAGTCAAATGTAATGCAATGTAGTGATTATGAATGATTGATTATGAATGATTATGAACAATTAGATCATCGAATGGAATTAATGAATTGACTCACTTTGACCATAGCAAAGCCACTTGCAGAATGGTTTGAACGGAAACAGCAACTTGTAATAATCAGGAAGACAGTGTGCTAGCATCGATGGATCGTAATTCATCTTTACAAACTGATTTTATCCAGATCTACTCCTCCAATTACTGTTTATTGTTAGCTTTCTAAAATTAATTCGATTGCAATTGAGAGTATAATGTTGCATGAGCACAATTCAAATCTTCTTTAACCGATAACCAATAGCCAACTTCGCCAACAATTGGAATAAGATTTCTTCAAGGAGTTGTTTATGTTTGAATCAACTATTAGTACTTGATTTTTCCGATTCTTTGATTTTACGATATTCTCGAGACACAATATGTGCACAAAGTTTGACACTACATGTGTGAAATCATGAGATCACTCCAGATATCGTGGCAACACCACTAACAGTGATGAATTATGAATAGCGCGAAATACTAGAAAATAAAAATTGTAATTTATTTCTTCAATGATTCTCAAGGAACTAAGATCATTGATAACTTTTCTCATGATCTTATTCTTCTGAGAAAATGCTGTGACGAAAAAAATCGAGATAAGATCATAACTAATTGCAAAATTGACGCCTCAAAAGTCCGTTAAGGCTAAACTGTGAAATGTTACGAAATGTGCAATTCTACAAATGTTTCGTTCACAATTTTCGTACTGTTTTGAATTGGTAATATTTTCCATTCGGTTTGAAGAAGTTTTGAAAAAGTGATTAAAAGCCTTCCTTACCCACCGAGATATTCAACTTTATTTAAGTAGTATGGTGAAAAGACGTGGTAAAGCTATCAAAATCGAGCTGGAACAGCAACAACAACAACCGAATGAGGTGAATGCTGCGAGTAATGCTACTGAAACAACTAACAAACGGCAGTCTGGAAGAAAGAAGTTGAAGAAGGAGGATGGAAATGAAAAACCGCTATGGCAACAACATCTTGAGAATTTGGAAAAGATTCGGGAGACAAAAGACGCACCAGTTGATACAGTGGGATGTGACATGTTAGGTGATGTGTTGTCATCGCCTCAGGTGTGTTGTTTTCGCTAGAAATATTCTTTTTTACGAGCCATTTTTTCAGTTCCAGATGAAGTCCAATCACCTCAGTTCCTTCAAGTGAGGCAAATGGTGTTTTACGAACATCATCAAAGTTTTGGTTTATGGCAATAAGTGATGAAATTATTTTGAGTGTTCATATGGGTCCAGTAGTTTACAGTGATTATAATCGGAAAGATGATTTGTCAGGCTTGATATTCTGAGAGTAAACGTTTGCTTTCAGACGTATCGTTTTCAAATCCTTGTCTCGTTAATGCTATCGAGTCAGACGAAAGATGAGGTTACGGCGGCTGCTATGCAGGTAAATAGGCAGTATTTGCCATTCTCAGCGAACGATTCCATTCACAAAATGTTCATTTTGTTGACAGTTTGACCGGTGTTAACAATTTTTCCTGTACCATTTCAAAATATTGTATATTGAATAATTCCTTTTTTCGACTAAACATTTTAACTGAATTCGGACCACATTGCAGCGACTTAAAGCTCGAGGTTGTACCGTGGAAAACATTCTGGGGATGGATGAGGAAGAACTTCGGAATTTACTTATACCTGTTGGATTTTACAAGGTCAGTTCATGGCTTTATTGTTATCACGAGGAAATTGATGTTCAGGTTTTTAAAAAACCTTTTGAATTCAGCGTTTTTTTTTATTTGTGCAAAATGTTATATGGCAAATCCTAAATGATTTCAGAAGAAAGCGATATATTTGAAGAAGACGGCATCAGTGTTGAAGGAAAAATATGAAAGTGATATACCGAGATCAATCAAAGAATTGTGTTCGCTGCCGGGTGTTGGTCTAAAAATGGCAAACTTAACGATGCAACATGCTTGGGATCAAATCGAGGGAATCGGTGTTGACACGCATGTTCATCGAATTGCAAATAGACTCGGATGGGTGCGGTTTTTATTCCTTAATCTGTTAATTCTTCGAGTCATTCGTTGATTTTTTAGTTTTATTATATATGTATTTATCATGAAGCGTAATTGTTTCAGATAAGTTTTTTCAAGCTCATTCGTTCAATCCAAACCATTATTATCAATCAATTCCACATTATTTCTATCATATTCTGAAGTTATATTGTTTGCATTAACAGGTGAAAACGTCTACTCCAGAACAGACGGGTGCTGTGCTAGAAGCGTTGATTCCACGTGAACGATGGGCCACTCTCAATAAAACATTAGTAGGGTTTGGCCAACAAACCTGCACTCCTCTTTACCCGAAGTGCTCGACGTGTCTGAATAAAGATATATGTCCAGCAATTGGAGTAAAGAAAAAACGATAAATATGAATCGAATTAACGAAGATATTTGGTCTACCTCTGTGTATATCTGTACATAATCCATTTATAAAACACCTTCAGCTAACGCATTTAAATTTATTTTATTGCATTGCATCTACTTGTTATTACCGAGTACTATTGTAGATCTTTATGGATTTGTAAACTCATATTAATCTCATTAAGATTACGTTCTTTAAATTGCTTTCGCATAATAGTTATAGTATACATTTGCATTCATTCATCTCATTGAATTGCAGTTTTGATTTTGTTATTGAATCGTCTGATAATTAGATCAGATATCACCTCTATCCTTTCGTGTATCAAAACCACTTTTGAATCAGTTATAAACACGCTGATATGTCATCAAAATTGTATATTGTATGACATCGTTATAGATTTTTATTGCTGTTGTTGATGATGATAATTGTGAAATATTATAATGTTTTTAATAAATTCTGCTTTATTGCGTTTTATTAAGTCAGCAGTTAAGCATACGATCAGCAATTAAGCATTAACCACGCTTATAGTATAAGTTTGCATTTCATTTCATTGAATGGCAGTTTGAGAATGAATCAAGCACCTTTCTTTCCGGAGTTGTAGAATTTCCAGAGAATGCATTGAATTAATCGTGGAATTTAGCTTGTGAAGTATGAATTGCCCAAAAAATAAAGTGTTTGCGAACTGATACATTGCACAGCTAGAACATATATTTGAATGAGACAAAAATCACAGCGATAATCATGATTGGTAAAAGTGAAATGAATTGTGCCATTGAGCTGCCATAATCGATCAGTTTTAAGAAATATCGAAACTCATTAAGACAAGTCACTTCGGATGGGCAACGTAGATGTCCTTCGCTCACATCAAATCTGCAATGTTTACAGTCAATAACAATTACAATTGAAATGAGCATTACGTTTGGCCAGTACTAGTATAACTGCGGAAATTACACTTATCAATCATCTCAAACACTTATCGATAATTTATTTTTCAAGCCACCTTCTCGTTCAAATAATAAGTGATTAACACTGAATTAAATTATCACTGAATCTTGATTATTTTTAAAATCATCTTTATGTTTAGATTCAATCATTATTCGTTACAAACGCTGGTCTTCGATAATTTTAAATCGTCGTAATTTCTTGATGTATTGAGTTAAGACATTGCTGTTGATACGGTCATTTTATCTATGTTTATGACTGCTTATGAGGTTTACTTCTGAATGGGTAAAATAGTCTCGCAATTGGAACGAACCGTGACAAATGTCTTCGATGAGATATTGAAGAATACGATACTTCATGAAAAGATACTTTAGTTGAGAACATACAATTGTTCAGATAACATGAAGCGTTCTGCATACGGAAGCTGAAATTTTCATTGTTGTGATTGCTCATACGTATGTGAAATCGACATTATCAATTTGATCTCTGATGGTGTTACTTTCGATTCAACAAACAAGTGAATTGCACAAGAAATGTACAGTCATATTCTGGTATAAAACAAAGCTCATCTTGAAGAGATGAACAATAAAGTGGATCAGCATGGAATTTGCAATGGTATTGAACGCAAGAAAGTTGAGTCGATCGTTTACTTTGAATAATTGGTTACCTTATTTTGAAACCGGTGATAACGCCGTTTTGAGTGATGATGTCGATGAGCATATCGCTCAGATATTGACAATCGTTCGGTTGATTTGTGGTTTCATTGTAATTGTAATCTCTTCAAATGAAAATTTCTTAATCGCTAATCTATTCTCATTGGGAACGATGAACCTAGCAATGTTACCGCAGCAAGCTCAAAACTATCTATCAAATGAAGAAAATGACTTCATTCCAGAATGCTGATTAGCGAATGAAAATGACGTTATATCCATAAGAAACAAACATCAAAATCGGTGTGAAGCAGTTGTCCTTTGAACGATCACAAATCGCATTTGCAGTGATATAATCAAGGAAATAATTTTTCATCTTCAAAGATCTGTTGCAACTCTGCAATAAATATTCATTAGAGTTGTTAATTGTTCGTGAGAATATTCACCATTCTCAACATTATTCTGCAACATTCCAGTGCATTTTTACACTGCATTCACAAATCCATTCGAAGATAATTATTTCTTTGAATTATCTTTCAATCACTCTTAACGATCAGCCAGGAGATTTGTATCAAATGAGGCGAATTTTTTGAGAGTTTTAAAATTGCCTTGAGTGATGCTTCAAAAATGGGAACTTGAACGAGTAATCGGAATAAACCTCTGAATTTTCGATGCTCCACGCACAATATGTTGTCGTATTAATGGCATACTTAATCGGCATTGTACTCGAAGACGAACACACACCCTTATCATCTAATTATCAATTAATCAGTAATGTTTCAATTACATGCACCATTTTGTCTATCATCAACTTATTGCAGTTCTCTTTATCATAACCTCATCAACATCACGATTCTATCTGCGTGGATATTTTAATTGTTGATGTTATTCGTTTTTTATTATCACTGCTATTGTTTATAATTTATTATCAAGTTGATTAGCACTGAAGATTCTCTAAAACAAAACCTGGTAAAATCAATCGAAGTAGACCATTGGCATTCAGCTCATCACCAGCTCGATACAGATCTACTGCTCCTGCTGGATGCATTGAACCGAGTAACTGTTCGGTCACATTTAATCCGGATTCATTGATCTTTTGAAAACAATTTAATAAGATAAATTAGGGGAATCATTTAAAAAATTCGGAAAAGTAGAATCGATATCATGGAATGGGAATCAACTGCTGTATGACTACATTCACAAATTCATTCGTTCCTTTTGAACGATTTTCAAAGTAACTTCCAGAGTTGTCACCAGAAGGTTATACATATCTCCATAACAGGAGTTCATCAAAATTATGAATGTTTCGATTGCAATGCGATGGTTTCCATTGAATGCAATGCTTCGAGGGGACAGTGGAAAAAACGACGATGAGAAATTATTGAAATAGAAATTTGTTTGCAAGGTACCTCATCTTCGGTCGTAGAATTTGCTGTTTGGTTGCTGAAATTATCAAATTTAGCTATCGTGGATGAGATATTTCAATTTTTAATGCTCTATATTCCTCAGACATTGTGCATTTTACATTCCACGCTAGATTCGCTACATAGAATCGTGATTTTTGAAAAGATACAATCGTGACTGAGCATGTGAAATTGTTTAAGGATGTCTGAAGTTTCTGGAGACTGTGAATCACCTGAAATCATTCGTGAACCAGAATGGTTGTTGAGCCAATGCTGTAATCGAAGGTTCTGGTAATTGCTTCGCGGTACCGTCAAAAAATGATACGATCAAGGGTGAATAACCACCAATAACATCGAATGCTGAGTGTCTGAATGGTAGTAAAATCAAATTAAAGGATTGCTGCATGAAACGGCATTTATTCTTGTAATATTGCACTTCTTAAATGATAAATTTTCGGAGAGTATCGTTCATTCCTCCAAGAAACTGAAGAAACATTGGTGCGAAACACTCAATTGTGAGAGTCGCCTGCAAATGTACACTCGTAACGTAGCTTTTGCAGCAATTTGAGGTGAATGTAATGAGTTACATTTTTTTGTTAAACGAATACTTAAAGACTGAAGTGACTGAAATATCTCCTACATGTTTAACAACAGTTCATGGTTTACATCTTGAATATAAACATGCTCTGATTAATTTCAAACAGATAATCGCTAATAAACGATAGATACCTCGGTATCAATGTTTTGACTTGGCGTATATCTGTGAGTTGGTGTCCTGTCGATGGAAGTGATAAAATTTCAAGATAACTGATAATTTCGAGAATCATGCTAGAGTGTTATTAGGGAATGTCCATGAAGCAGCATCTAATCGATCTCAATTTCTCGGTGTTGCCATGGTAATTGTAACATCATTGCATTTGATAATAGCAACTGGCGACTTATTAGCGAAGACACACAGATACAGACAGTAAGTGCGTTAAATTTGGCATAACATCACCTGTCGAGATGCTCAACGAAATGATTATATTCGGAATTTTTTCGAATGATTACTTTACGAGTGTGAAAGTAGTCAGGTGATTTTTTAAATGTAAATCATTTTTTCAGATGAGCACATTCTGAGCTAATGGTTGTTCCGTCTTTTTGCTTGAAATATCCAATTAGATCTGAACATGTTGTACATGTATGTCTTGTTCTAACATGTTAATGTGCTTATGATGTTAGTTAATTTACACAGCTATTATAATCGATTTAATGATGGTATATGTTGGTGGAGATGATGAATAAACTGACTTTAAGATTGCAGGAAATGGAAAGATACATTGAAAGGGGTAAGAAGCCACTAAGGGAAGCGGTCGAATTGGATAAAGACGATAAGAAGATGGAAGCCGTTCAGAAGTACGTCGAGGGAATTGCCGTTCTTATGGAGGCTATGTCTTGTTGAGTTATTATTTCGTTGATTTCATCGCAACCAATTTCATATAGATACACTCATCAATTGTGACATTTTCAGACTGAATTTTCAGCTGTTCAACATCGTATGAAAATGACCACTTGAAGTATGTCCTCGTTTCGAAATGAATCAATTCAGGATCATTCAATTGGCTGTTTTCAGGTGATGAAGTAACGCAACATCAGAGAGATTCTTTGAAGAATCAAATATCGAAGTACATGAGTCGTGCCGAGTTTCTGAAAGGACAAGCCAAAATAAAAGTGGATTCACTGGAGCAGCGTCGTATCAAGAAAGGAACGGTCAGTTTCGTTTGCATGCCTCCGTAATTTGCATAGGTGATGTGTGTTAGTATAAATTTCTAGTATGACAGCATCATTGCGTCATGAAGTCCACATTCGATCGAGTAATATCTCATGATAACATTGTATTGTGAATACATTCCGGCATTCAGTAATAAGAAATCTTCAGACTGGGCATGGATATGATAAAATATTCTCGAAGTGCATGGACGACTCATTGACGGAAGTTAGCATCGACGATGCCTATATCATAGCACATC